CAACTATGGTGTAGGCTATCATCTTAGGTTGTTCTTGACCCTCTTTCCAGTAGTTGTGATGAATGTGAATGATGGCCAGGTACTATATCTCTCTATATACAAGATGATATTACAAAATCTGAAAAGCTTAGGCTTGAAATTACACCCATGGGAATTGCAAATTTAGTGAGTACAATTGATAATTTATGTATTGCTATGTTTTGTATTATACATTGTGTTTTCAAGATCATAAATGTGGTTGGAGCATAATTGATTTCTGTTGGTCTAACATTATTGAAAAAGGTGGCATTTTCCACATTATTGATACTGGTGAGTTTGCTTAAGAGCATGGTAAAAGTATTCATCAAGACCAATTGAAATTATATGATAAGGATATTTGTTCCTGCATACTAACTACAGATATTTTCATGATAATAAAAATGATGAATGAAAAATATAACGTGGCGGTTTAAAAGAAATGCTCTTGACTTTTACAATAAGTTGAAGGATTGTTATAGTAATAATTCATTAGAATCTATATTTAAATCATATTAACCTACATGATCGAGTTAAAATTTTAAAAGATAATAATATTATTAAGTAAATGACTTGTTTTCTTTTATAGATATAGTTGTTAAAATATGTAAAGCATATAGGGCCTTTGCAATAGAAAGGGGGGAACTGAGTATTTTTAAGCTGAAATATGTTCTAATTAGCATTAACTAATTTTTTATTTTTCCGGCAGTTTCCCCCCTTCCTATTGCAAAGGCCCTATATATAAAAAAAAAATGAAACTACATTTTATTAGTTTATTATGCTCATTTTATCTGGTTTTATGCCATTTCTAAAAACAATGCTGTTATTAATAATTTGTCACATATTGGAAAACTCCCAGCCAATTTTAAAATACTCGCTCATTGAGATAGCAAGGGAGCATAAGTTCGATAAAAGTTTTAATCATTACACTTTTGACGAGTTAATTTCCGAGAAGATAACACTCGCGTTATGATGAGGTTAATATTTATACATTGTATTCATTGTATTATTGTTATTATTTAGATTGATATGATTCATAATGAATTAGTTTCGAGATAAATCTAGTTCAAAGGACTGCGATGGAAAAAGTCTGGTATGGAATAATCAATTTGGTCATTATGTTCATTTTCGTTGGCAGAATTCTATGAATCGAGGATAATACAAAATAAACCCATGTTTAGCTAAAAATACTTCTCACTTTCCTACAGTTTGGATTGTCGAATGCGATGACGAGACTACGGAATTAAAGGAACTTGACATTGTGAGTATTAATTAAGAAACAATTGGTGATGGAACCATTGGATAGGTAAGTCTAGGATGCAGAGTAGAATTCTTGAAAATCAGAACGATTAAAAACATCTGAGCGGTATAAACACATAAATTGTCGAAATTATAATCGGCGCAAAACAAAAAAAAAATTACTGCGTACGACATAAATTTATATGTTATAAATATTTTGTATCATATACATTAAAGGAGAGACATATTCTAAATTGAATAATAAATAATTACAAAATCTAACAGAAAGTAACTATTTCTCGACAAATAATCTATGATCATCTTTTTCTGTGAAGAAAAGATGTTCAGTTTCCCATTCTTTGCTTTCAAGAGTGTTTATAAGATCTGTAAAGGAATCCTCTACTAAAGAATGAGTATCTCGAATGATATTTAGCACGTGGTTTCTATCTTCAGATGTGGCAGAATCAACGTACTCCAGAGCATATCTAATTGCACATGCGTGAGAGAATCCCTTGATAAAATCCTTAGAGTTTGCATTTTGCGAAAACCATAATGAAAGATGTTGTCTACCAGGGAAGTGGATACGATGATGATGATGTTGTTGATGATAATTTTGTTGTACAGGATGTCGCTTTTTTCTTATACCTCCAAACAAATGGTGATTAGGTACATGTAAAATGAAGTATTCCTCAGGATGAAGAAACCCTTCTTGTTTTAACGCAGCATGTAAATCTCGTGCATACTTTTTAGAAGTATAATGATGTAAAGCCGGTTCTATTTCCAATGGTATTTCAAATGGCGAATAATATCGTTTGACGAATATCTCTTCTGATGATATTTCTTTTGGTGATGGAACGAGATCTCTTAAATCGCACTTGATTCTCGACAATGTCCTTGTTTCTCCACCAAGTTTATTTAATAAGCGATATAAAATCATTTCTGCACGTGGTATATTTAGGGTACTAGTTGTCACATTAAGACTAGATTTATAATTAGCATAAATGTTAAAAATCGAAAACGGGATAAATGTAATAAAAATTGGAATAATCGGTTGAACAGCGGCGAATGTGGAAGGTGTTATAGTAGCAAAATCCGGTTGAAATTTAGTAATAGTGGCACTTATAACAACTCCAAGGGCCGTTCCTGTTTAAACAATTATAAGGATCAAATGTGACTCTGTATAAATCGATGACAAACAAACATGAAGCTTACATGCCTACTAGACCTGCTGCTGTGCTTTGTGATCCCGACTTTCCGGTGATATCTCCTAAGCTAATAAAATTAATGATAATAACTTAATTGAATGTTTTTCGGTACAAACAATATCACCGTTGGTAACTTACTTATCTCTTAACGCGAATGATTTATGCATCGTTGCTCTATATAGTTTTAAGGACAAAACATAATATTCATCTTATATTAAAAGCCATTAATTTTAATAATATTTCATTTTTCATACCTTGTTGCGGAACCAGCTAGCCATGCAATATTTTTACCTAGGTACAAGAAATAAATTTGTAAAAAAAGGAAAAAAGGGCAATATTCTTTTTACATTTACAGAAATAATACAAAAATCACGAGAGATATACCTATGTTTGAAGCAGAAGCTATCAACAGAAACATGCCTGGCCACAATGGAGCCAACAATTCTAAGAACGATGCAAATTGCATTGAGACAGTTGCTCGAAAGCGATGACGTTTTGGCTCGGAATCAAAACGGTCGTTAATGGATGCGGCATAAATCACACCGCCCAATTGACCTAGCCCATCTTTAATGATCCAATTCAATGCTGCGGCGAGCTTTTCGGATGAAATTTACATATTAGAATTTTTTAACCCTTCATCCTCCAACAAAGCCCGCATATAATATGTAGTTTTGACATACAGGGATTGACGTTGATCCGAGTCCCATAGCATATAGCAAAGACTGTGTTGACAAAACTATATAAAGCTAAGTTAGTGATTTGATTACATGGTTATTCAACTTAAAAACTTACCTCCAGTAACAGATCCCGCTATATTATGAAGGAATTGCCACTTTGCAAATTCCCAATAATCTTTAGTGACAGAATCCGGATATCCTTTTGGCATAAATGCACTATTGAACTGTCTTTTTCCTTCTAAAATCAAATCATTAATTGAAATTTTTTTATTAGAATGATGTGATATTTTTTCACATGTCATTTTTGATTCATCAGTTATCTCCTTTTTTTCGTCCAAAGGAAATTTGATTACGGTTAATTGAGAACGCCAAAGTCTACCAATGGTTTGTTTGATATGAATTGATTGAGACGTCAAATTGGAAGAGGCTTCATTAGAAGAATTATATAAAGTTCGAAAGTCAAAAGGTCGGTGATTTTTACATTTTAAAGTTTGTTGCGTATTTATTATATTCGAAGAGTTTATAGCTGAACGAAATAAATGTATGGATTTGCAGCAAATGTCTTTCTTTCTCGTGAAAAATAACCGCAAGTTCATATTCATTTTCAAAATCTGAGAAATATCGAGTAAAAAAAAATATAATGAATTCCGAAATGTGGAATTGTTTTATCTCATCAAATGTAAATGTTGATCCCGATAACGATAACAGATAATCAAACCAAGTAACACAACCGATTTGGTAAATCCCGATCTAACAAAGTGCAATTTGTATACTTTCTAAAAATAGTATGTTACACTGAATAAAAACTGATTATCTCGAAAAAAAATCGTCCTTTTTTTCTGATTCTTTTTCTTATTAATTGAATATGTTTCGGGCTACTCAAAAATTCACTCCATCATATTTACCTCTGTACAGATTGCATTCTCCCTCAACTGCATATTACTCAACTATCAAACCTAATTTAAAACTTTTACAACAATTACGACAAGAAACTCAAGTCAATATTTCAAAAGCAAAAGAAGCGTTACTAAAGCATAATAATGATTATGATACAGCATTATCATGGATTTTAGAAGACGCTAAAACCAGTGGATTTGCCAAAGCTGAAAAACTTAAAGGAAGGATAGCTAAAGAGGGATTGGTTGGAGTTGCATTGACAAAGGGGTTCGAAGGGAGGACTGAAGCTAAAGGAACTGGCATGGGAGATACGAGAGGCGCAATCGTTGAGGTATTTGAATTTCATCAGTTTGTTATATATATTTCTAATAATTTATCATTCATTCATTATTTACGAATTACATTCATTGATTTAATAGGTAAATTGCGAAACTGACTTCGTTTCACGCAACACCCTTTTCCAACAATTCGTAACTCAAGTCGCATCCACATCTCTTTTACTATCTTCAGATGCTACATCTATTTCTTCATCTTCTTCCAACAATTCTTCATTTATTCACTCAATACCACTCCCACTTCTTCAGTCTTCACCTTTGTATCCTCATCCATCATTAATTACATCTTCCTCTACCAATCTTCCTTTGGCTACTGTTCAAGAATCTATGATGGAACTTGTTGGTAAATTAGGTGAAAATATTAGTTTACGTAGAGCTGATGCTGTTGTACTTCCCGATATGAATGAAAATTCAAATGTAATAAACGACAAAGATTTTATATTGACAGGTGGATATGTTCATGGTGGTGATTTATTTACCGGCAAAATTGGAGGGTTAGTTGTTGTGAAATTATCGAGTAAAACCACAAAACAAGGTTCCTCTTTTACGCATCCTTCTGAGCAAATAAATAAATTATTAAGAAATTTAGCTAGACAAATTGTTGGATTTAATCCCCAATATATTAGCGAAAATAATGTGGAAGCGATTCAATATGGTATTAGCAAGGATGATTATATAAAAGAAAATGTTTTATTAAGTCAAGATTTTATTATTGGAGGTGGTAGTGTAAGGGATGTTTTAGAAAAAGCCGAGAAGGAGTTTGGAAACACAGTTGAAATAATTGATTTTAGAAGATGGGAATATGGAGAGGGAATTAAGAAATCAGCTTTTAAGATATAAATTATGAACGTCATTTATTCGTTATTTCCACGTGATCAAAAAAGTTATTCCATGGAAGTTCCACAGATTGATGATATATTAAATCTGCAAAAAAAAAAAAAAAAATAATCGTAATAAAAATATAAAATAAATTGGTTTATTCTAAATATTTCCAAGGTAGTAATCTAATAACAACAATAACAACTTTTACTTTTAACAGTAATTAATTATTGTTATTTATTATCTTTTATAGAATTCTTTGTTTTCATATGTATCAATGTCGTTGTTAGACGCATTAAATCGCTTAAATGAGAGAGACGAACGCTCGGAATTTGGAGAGAATGGTATTAAAGACATGCGTAACACAAATGGAATTGAGAAACAGGTTGGTATTACTGTAAAGCATAAAATTTTATCTAAATGTTTATTGGATGCTTTTCAATAATGTGTCTTCAAAATGTATTTTAGGCAAATGGTATTAAACCCGAGCTTGTTAACGGAAAAGTTAAAGAGAAAGCTCGTAAAAACGAATCTGATTTACTCGTTGATATTCTGGATCCCGCTTCAACTCCCACTGTACAAGAAATGGAAAAAAAAATTAGGAATTTCGCGGCTCAAAGCGAATCAGAATATTTACAATCTAGATTAAAAATTCATTCCATTGAACCTAAAAAATATTTCGATTACCTAAAAATTCATTCTAAAAAATCTCGTAGTAGTAATAAGAGCACCAAACCTATAAAAGATCAACGTGTTAATTCAGATGAGGCAAATAGTTACGATAAAGATACATTTAACCTAACTTCATGGCAAAAAGAAATTGAAGTAGAACCAAATATCGATATTGAAACACTACAATCTGAATATTTTGAAATGAAGTCAAACGAACTCAACATGGTATATCGATTATTGAAATATTTGTCTTTTTAATTTATACTAGAAAACTCTTAAAGATATTTAATTATGTTTTTATACTGTAAAATTTAGGCGAATACACGAATACCTCTATTTTCGAACGATTTTATCAAAAGAATAGTTTCTTATTGCATATCACAAAATCCGGATGGAACACCTAACATGAAATTTTGGTCATCCACTCTATTCCAATTTCTTATTGGGAAAAATTTTATATCTAACAGTTATGTGAAAGATGGTATTGTTAAAGCTTTCATTAAAAGAAATTCATTGGTAAATCCTAAAATTTATTTGTATACTTTTCTATTAATTTTTTTTATTTATTGACAAAACTTCTTAACCTTCTAGGGGTTGTTGAAACTTGCTTTAACTCACGTTCCTGATATACCTGAAAAAGATCTTATATATCTATTGAAGTACTTGATCTCACATAGTTCACAGTTCTCAAAAACAGAAAAGAAAAAACCTTTAATAAAAGAATTTTTCTCATTAATTATTTGTGCTCCAAGAAGTGACAATAAGATGATGAAAGCATTAAAAGATTTGAATGAAGATGAATTATTGTTTATAATTCAAATTTTTCGTAAATGGATTAAAATATATGGTGAAACTGATGTTATGCCCGAATTAATGTCTTCTGGTAAAGCGAAAGCCGCTTTATTAAAAAAAGTCAAGTACATTCCAGATTTTCGTCTCGTAAGTTGAACTTGTATAAGACCTATTATATATAAATTTTTGCAAAAAATTTTACTAATTTTTAATAATTTGATTTTAAAATAGCTTATCGATTTTATGTCTTTAATTTTTGATGTACATTTTTCTACCTTGATTCTCTCCGAAAAATTGTATCCATCTCTTAATGGTTTATCAAAGTTAATAACATATGAATTAGCAATATATGAATCATTTGAATCTATGAGAGGTTGTTTAGCATTATTTCATCAAAAAAGAAATATTATATCAGAGAAAATTTCTTCAACGGATGATGCTAACACATCAATACATGATAGAAAGAACATTACTTGGTTAAATGATGGCGATCTACCTATTTATTCGGTAGAATTATTTAGTTTTTATGAAGATAATGAAGATAATAATTTTAAATTAGATGAGATGGACCTTGATGTGGATGAGATGACTCGGGAAAATTAAATAGATAATTATATATTTACTTTTATATTGCAGAAATTTTTATCAAAAGGCTCACTTTGATTAAATCTTTTTTTCATCAAAAGTATAAAAATTAAATATCTTCTAATGGACTATATGTAATAAAAAGAATGATATTCTATCAATTTGTCATACTTTGGTTTTGTCACGGAAATGATTTCCTGCGGGTGAACTAATTTAAACATTTGTGATCACGTGAATTTATTGATTCTGTTGATCGATCCTTACTATATAACGATTGGTCGATATCTTTTTTGTCCATTTTTCAGATGTCAATTTTCTTAAATTATAAAATTTTAAACTTAAAATGTCTCAAGCAGCACAGGTTTCGGTTGCTTTCGTTTCTTCTAATAATTGTTTCATAAGTTTACCACTTGTTGTTACAAATTTTATTTATGGTCAACATCAGGTACTTTAACTTATTCTTTTTCAATTTATTTTAAATTTCATCTCTTAATAATTTTTGCTCGATCAAGTTACCACAAAACGTTATTTTAGAGTTATCTTGGCAGGAAGCTAAAAACTTGCGAAGAGCATATGTTGGTTGGTCAGGAGACGCTTCTAAGCAACATAGTACACATGTTGATACAATCGAAATTGATCCACAATTTGGAAGCTCCATTGGCTTACATGATGGCCAAAAGGTATTAATCCTAATTATTGAATAACTTTCTTTTTAATTTGAATTCATATATTATTTTTGTATTAAAGGTATCTATGAAAATTTGTGAAAATTCACCCGAGGCCAGCTTAGTATATGCCGAACCTTGTAGCATTGAGGATTGGGAAATAGTGGTATCTTTCATTTATCCATTATTTGAATTATTTGAATTATTTTTATTTTAATATTTACCGATTTTGTTAAATTTTTAGGATCGTCGAGCAAATTATCTTGAGAATTATTTCATCCAACAATTACGTGTTGTTTATCCTAATCAAATTGTTACGTTATGGATTAATTCAAACCTCACACGGCTCAAAATTGGTTTGGATTTTTTTTGATAATAAGTGTTAAGAGGAAAATAGAATGCATATATATTTTTAAATGATAATTCTTTATTATAGTGGAAATCGATCCAAAGACTCAATTTGCAAAGTTATGTGCAAATACTGAAGTTTCTGTCAAATCCATGGCGCGTCCAACAGAAAATTTTCAATCAAAATCAACTGAAAATGGCATATCAAATAATAGTATTTTCAACTCTCCAATATATTGCTTGAGATTGTTACCTAAAGAATATCTTAGTACAGAACTGCTTCCATCATGCCCAAATGAATTTTGCTCAGTGTATGTTCATTCTAAAGATTTTGTCAATATAAGACTTTCAAATAACAAAGTTGTGCGTCTTTCTAAAGTGCAACCTCAACAACCGCTTCATAACAAAGAGAATGAAGATAAAACTGAAATGGATAATAAAAGCAGTTCACAAAATACTATTTACGTCAAAGTTGTGGAAAATTCGAATGTTATTCCGGGGCACGTAGTTTTATGTGGGCCAATAAGAGATTGCTTGGATGCTGAAAATTTTGCCATAATCAAGTAAATTCCATTACCGTGGTTAAATAATTTTTATTATATGATTGATCAACATTAATTCGAAATATGTTTTAGATTAGCACCCTCGCAGATAAATCCCGTTACATTATCTAATATTATATTGAGAAACACTAGTCCATTTCAAATTAATCCATCAAAACCTCATCATACTAGCAGGTATATTAATTGATTGAAATATTGTATCTTTATATTATCAATGTTTTTGTAATTGATTTAAATCCATTTCTAGTCCAGCTACAGATAAATCAGTTTCCTCGACTATTTTAATTAATTCCTTTAAAGGTATTTATTTAGTGTAAATCTATTTAATTTATATTGATTTGCTTTACTTATCTTTAATGATTATAATTCAGCGTTTGTTGAGAACCTCCCGGATAATTCTGAAGTTGTGTTAACCAATGGAATGAAATTATCTCTGTCTTCAGCTAATGGTAACTTAAATATTGCAATATTCTTGGGTGTTAAAACCGGTAATCAAAATGATGGTCGTCATGGGAAATTTGATTTTCCCGAAATGTTTACGATTTTGACAAAAAGTAAATTACAAAATATGAAGACGGAGGTTGGAGATAATATCCCGATGCCAGACCAAAAGCTTTTGAAACAGTGAGTTCTAACTTGTTTATGAAGGTATTTGTATTTGATACAATTATAATAATCTTCGATATCTTTAGGCCTATTCAGGATTGTCTTCCGAAACTTGCTGGAGTTTCAAATCTCACAAAAAAATTGGAAGGTTATTTGCGATCTTGTCTTGGAAAAGTTTCACTACGAAGTGCATTACGCGTTCCAGGTAACTTCATGTTGAGATTTTCTTTTCTCAATGAGCCATCACTTAAATTGTTCTATTGTTACAGCATTGGGTGGATTACTTTTATGTGGTGGACATGGGTCCGGTAAAACTAGTATTGCTAAAACAGTTGTATATAGCTTGGAACGGGATTTGCAGACTTTAGCTTGTAAGTTATTATGATTTGACCTGAATCAGTTAGTTTATTATATTTTTAAAAAATGAACTATAACTATTTTGTAGATTGTTTAGTTGTAAGGTGTACTGAATTAACGGAAGAGCGCGTATCATCTGTAAAAGATAAGTTACAGCAATGGTTTGATGATGCTGCATGGCATGCCCCTAGTATAATTCTTTTTGACGATCTTGACAGGTTAATTCCTGCGGAAGTTGAAGTATGTGTTCCAACGCATTTTGTGTCATTATTATTTATTCTATTCAATTATTAAATTTTTTTTTTTTACCTAGCATACAGATTCGTTCAGATTCCGTCAATTGGCCGAATGTTTCTTTCAGATTGCTGCGAAAATGTGCAAAAGACATCGAATAACAATTTTTGCGACTGCACAGCAACAAGCTTCAATTTATACGTATCTTACTACAAGTCATTTGTTTTGCGAGATTGCTCAACTGAACCCGCCGACAAAAACAGAGAGGCATGAGGTAATAGTTCGATTAATATTAAAACTTTTAATGATTATTGTATTATTTAATTGAATTAAATATTTTATTAGATTATTGAAGCAATAATGTCTTCGGGTCCTACGCTTGCTCAAAATAGTGTTTCTAATATCGACTTACTATCAGTGGCAAGTGAATGTGAGGGATATTTAGCTGCTGATCTTAAAGCCCTTGTAGAACGTACGATACATGAAGGGGTATCTAGGCAATTGCATAGTGGGAATGATGAATCTCAATTTTTGCTCACTCAAGAAGATTTTCGCAAGGCCCAAGAGGAATTTGTCCCTATTTCTTTACGGGGCGTGAAATTGCATACTTCAAAAGTCAGTTGGACTGATATCGGAGGTGTGTTATTTTATCAACCTATATATAACGACATACAATATTTTATTCACTTCTTAATATAATTTAGGTTTGGTCGAAACGAGAAAGGTTTTGTTGGAAACCTTGGAATGGCCCACTAAATATGCATCCATTTTTGCAAATTGTCCTTTAAGATTGAGATCTGGGTAATTTATTATGGATATTTACATTTAGAAACGATAAAATAAAATATACTTCATATCTAACTAACATTTCATTTCATTTTATTTTATAGATTGCTTTTATATGGTTATCCTGGCTGCGGAAAAACTTTACTAGCATCAGCTGTTGCAAAAGAATGCGGTCTTAACTTTATTAGTGTTAAAGGTCCAGAATTATTAAACAAATATATCGGTGCTAGTGAAAAATCTGTAAGCATCGCAAAAAAAAAGTGATATAGAATTTAGTCATTGTTAACAGGTTAATCAAATTTCTTATAAATTAATAATAGGTACGCGATCTATTTGAACGTGCACAAGCAGCAAAGCCATGTGTTTTATTCTTTGATGAGTTCGATGCTATTGCTCCCAAAAGGTAAATAATAATATTACTTATTATTTATATTATGTAACTATCATAATAAAATGTTATTTTTTTTAATAGAGGTCATGATAGCACTGGAGTGACAGATCGAGTAGTTAATCAAATGCTGACCCAAATGGATGGTGCTGAAGGACTAGATGGAGTTTATGTTCTCGCGGCAACAAGGTAAAAATATGTTTATTTAAATAAGGTTAAAATGTACATATTAATATATAAATATACTTTCATATTAGTCGACCAGATCTTATAGACCCTGCATTACTAAGACCAGGTCGTCTTGATAAGTCCTTACTATGTGATATGCCAATACTCCAAGAAAGAATTGAGGTAGGTTAGTTCCGAGTAAATTTATGTTAAATTTTGATTCCTAATTAATAAATTTTCATTTATACAGATATTGAAAGCTTTATCGAGGAAAATGGAATTAAAGGATGATGTTGACTTTAGTTATTATGCAAAAAAATGCGAAGGATTTTCTGGCGCCGATTTACAAGCATTATTATATAATGCACATCTTGAAGCCATTCATGAAGCTATTGATTCTGACAAGTCATTAGAAAATTCTAAATCGAATGCTGACGGAAATGACATGCAATTTATATCCTTTAATTCAAAGTCGGCGCAGAGTACAAGTAAAACATTAACGGCCGCAGAGAAGGGACAAATATCACAAAGAGTAAGAAGAAAGAAATATTTTATGGCATTCACAATTTTTTTTGCAGGAAATCTTAGTAGAAATATTGACTTGATTTTGATTTAAAAAGTTAGCATTAATTAAAAAAGGATTTACACTCAAGAAAACTTCTAAAGCGGAGAACGAGAGTGGAGATGAAATAAAGAAGAAACGAAGTGTAAATATATTCATATTTTAGACTGCCAACTTATATTAGTGAATTAACTTTTTTTTATTTATAGGCAATTATAACGAACGAACATATCCAAACATCTTTAAAGATAACACGACCTTCAATAACACCTGAAGAACGTGCAAGATTAGCTGCCATGTAAACTTTTTTAATATTATTATTAAGGTTAATTCTTATTATTAAATATTTTCTAACTCTTATTTTTTTATAATTACAGATATAAAGAATTTATTACTGGAAGAAACGGGGAAATGCCTAGTGGCATTTCTAGCCATGAAATTGGTAAAAGGTCTACTCTGTACTAGGCATTAAATGGGCAAATACAGTTTGATGTGAATTTTTAAAAGTATTAATGTAAATAATAATACTGTCAATCCCCTACTCTTTTATATTAAAAAATCCCTATACAGGGGGTGGACTGTATTTTGTAATATATAATGATAGATAATTTAATATACTCTTTTTTTTTTTTTTTTTTTTTTAAGGCAATATGTTTTTGAACGATTTTAATATTATTAAAAGAGATATCTTTATATTTATTATTCTTATAAATAATGTTATTTGGATCATACAATTAAAATCCTTATATCTCTGATTAGTATTTTGACTAAATCTAAGAATTTTTTCATAATATTAAATAATCATTTTAATGTTTTAAGATATTTTTTTTTAAAAAATATTTATTATTAAAATTGCTTAAAGCAAAAATTTTATCTTGATATTTAACAACTTAAATGATTATATAATATTTAAATTTTATTTTTACAAATTTATAACAATATCTGATAGTAATAATAAAGGTAAAAGTATAATAGAAATACTGTGAACGAATAAAATATGATAGGACCTACGTGGCGCAGATGATCGACAAATCTGACAAATCTGACATATAT